ATGAAGTGAGATGTCCCAGCTCAAGCAATGGGTACAAAAACAGATGAGGTGAGAATTTCTCCTCCCTCTATTTGTTCTATTCAGGCCCTCAATGGACTGGATAATGCCCACCCACATTGGAGAGGGCAACTTGCTTTACAGAGTCCACTGACTCAGATGCTAATCTCACTCAGAAACACCCTCACAGACATACCCAGAAATAATATTTAGCCAGATATCTGGGCGTCCTCTGATCCAGTCAAGTTGACACAAAATTTAACTATTACATATCCACCCCATGTCAGTTTGGCACTCATAGTGTTCTCCATAAATCATACTTAATCTCCAAATAAAAACAATAACAAGGCCATAATTTCACCTAACATAATACAGCTGTCCTGGGTACAACTCACTTTTTCCCCAGAAGAGGATGAAAAGTCCTTGGGTGATCTTTTACTTTTCTCCTAGGTACCCTATAACCTAAATACTATGATGTAAAATTAACAATACTAGATACTATGGTATGAAAGTCAATCCTTGAAGACTATGATGTAAAGTTACATGATAAGGAAACAAGAAAGAAAAGAAGTCCAGGATGAACACACATTCATAACAAAATCAGGAGGCATACTCATGACAATTACAGCCCTTATTTCTATAACTAGTCACTTGATTGTGCTTCTTTACCAGATTTCCATTCCTGAAAGGTCTGGGTCTTTAGTAGTCTTGCCTGGATTGAGCTGTTTTCCACTGACCTTAGTCACAGGTAATAAGAGATGCTCTGTGATCGCCTGTATTCCAGATGTACTCTTCCTTACCTCCACTGTGGAACAGTAGTCCAGTTTCTCCTTGGTAGTCAGGATCAGTCACTGAACCAACGCTGTAAACTCTTCTTTGCCCGTTGATTCAGAGGTGTGAGGCCAAAGTGGCAGGAGGAAGTCTGAAGTTCCAGTTCACTGGAATCATTGTTGTGTCACCTGGTGGAAGCAGTCTTCCCTCTGGAACCAAGACCTCTAACCCAGCAGGGCATAAAGTCATGGGAACAAGAAGCATAAATTTTGATAGTGGGTCACTAGGGGTAACAGTGATACCACTCCCATTTCCAGCTGTAAAGGAAAACCTAGTTTTTCCCTGGGTGCTTCTTCCATGTGTGTCCTCTTTACTACTCAAAAGGAAATTTACTTCTGAGACTTCTGCTCACCAAATGTGTGTGTGGGGACCCTGCATCCCCACCAAGTAATCCTGTGCAACACCAGCTGGGTGTCCTACAATTCAACTCAGTTCTAACACCATTTGCCTAGAAATAGTATCAGACACACAGGTTAAGGGCTCAGTCCCACAAGACTACTCCCCACTTCAGATGCCAATTTCAAGTAGTAGGTCTCCATGTTTACAGCTTCTATTTTGAATTTGGCTACAAACTCACGGTTCCCATGCCTCCCTCCCTCAGGTTCAAGTAACCTGCTAGAGCAGTTCATGGAACTCAGGGAAGCACTTGCATTTACCTGTTTGCTGTAGAATATGATAAAGGATACAAATGAACAGCCAAATGAAGACACATAGGGTGAGACCTGGGAGAACCCCAAACACAGGAGCTTCTGTCCTCATGGAATTTATATGTCACTCTTCCGGTGTGGATGTGTTCACCAACTTTGAAATTCTTGAATCCTGTACTTTTGGGATTTTTATGGAGGCTTCATCATGGAGGCAAGATGGATCATTAATTCCACTTCCAATCCTTCTCCCTTCTCTTGAGAAGGGTGGGCAGGGCTGAAAATTTCAAGGTTCTGATCATGCCTTAGTCTTTCTAGAGACCAGCCCTCATCCAGGAACCATCAAGGAGCCCACCTAGAGTTGCCCTGTTAGAACAGAAGATACCCCTATCACCCAGGAAACTACAAGCGTTTCAAAAGCCCTTTGTCAGGAGCCAGGTCAAAGACCAAATATTCGAATAAGATTTGCTGCTAGTGCTCTTATCTTTTAGGAAATTACAAAGGTTTTCATAGCTGAGCCAGGAACTAGAGGCAGAAACCTATGTGTATATATATACAGTTGACCCTTGAATGGGCTTGAACTGTGAGGGTCCACTTATGCATGGATTTTTTTCAATAAACACCATGAGTACTACACAATCCAAGTCTAGTTGAATCCATGGATGTGGAAATGCAGTTATGGAGGGCCGACTGTAAAGTTGTGTGCAGATTTTCGACTGCATGGGGTGCTGGCACCCCTAATTCCCAAACTGTTCAAGGGTCAACACAATTTTCTGTTGTCTTACACCACTCCTTGACTCCTGTATCCATGAATCCTGGCAATTGGAGAAATTGCCATATATTGGGTGCTGATTCAGCGCATATGCAGCCTTCTGGAGAACACAGCCTCAGCCTGCAAGGTATTGTCAACAGCTGATTGTGTAACCGAGTCTTCAAAAGGTCATCCCATCACTCTATCAAGCCAGCTGCTTCAGGATGGTGGGAAGCATGGTAAGACCAGTGAACTCCATGAGCATGGGCCCATTGCTGTACTTATTTTACTGTGAAGTGAGTTCCTTGATCAGAAGCAATGCTGTGTGGAGTACCATGACAGTGGATAAGGCATTATGTTAGTCCATGGGTGGTAGTTTTGGCAGAAGCACTGCATGGAGGGAGGGCCAATCCATATTCAGAGTAAGTCTCTACTCTAGTAAGGACAAAATGCTGCTCTTTCCATGATGGAAGTGATTCAATTTAATCAACCTGCCACCAGGTATCTGGTTGAACACCCCTCGGGGAATGCTGTTATACTTGGGGGTTCAGTGTTTATCTGGTGCTGGCAGAGTGAGCACACAGCAGTGGCCAGTCAGGCGAGCCCTGGTGAGTGGAAGTCCATGTTGCTGAGCTCATGCATAAAGTCCATCTTTTTCACCATGACCACTTTGGGTATTAACGGGGATGGCTAGGGAAAAAAACTGCTATCCACAGAATAGAACATCTTATCCACTCAATTATTAAAATCCTCCACTGAGATCACCCTTTAGTAAGTATTTATACAGGACACAAATATCTTAAAAAATTTCTCAGAGTGGTCTATCCACACATCTCTTCCCCAGACTTCATTGTCACCAAATTTCCAAACATGTCCCTTTCATCATTATCCTACATCCTTAGTAGCCATTCCCATACTTATTTCCTGGATTTTTGTATAAATTAGAAAATCAAGTAGTTCTTTTGGAGTGTAGCACACCTCCACAGGCCCCGAAATAAAGAGGGGTGGTGGGCATGGTTTCTGAGGAGAATCAGCATTGTTCTGCATGGTAACTGCTTCAGGAGAGGTCTTCATGGTTTCTTCAGGCAGTGCAGGGTTAATCTCCTCAGGTGGAGGTGGAAATGCTGAAGCCACTGTATAGGGATGCCACTTCCACTGGTAAAGACTCTGAACTTAGGAGCTAAATGTCTCCAGCTTCATAGGAGTCTTCCCACATGTCCCCATGCCAATTTACAGAATCCTATTCTTTCCCAATTAATGCTGTCATTGTAAGTCATTTACCTTAAGTCATTTCACACTTCTTGCATTTTATTATAATCAGCCAGAAGGAGCCAAGCTACACCCTTAATTTCATTGCTCAGAAGTTCTACTTTCCACAAAACACTAAAACACAAACACAATTTAACAAAGTTCTTTGCCACTTTATAAAAAGAATGACCTTTCCTCCAGTTTCCATTAACACGTTCCTCATTTCCACATCAGACTGGTCTTTACTGCCATTCATAATTACTTATCCTCTAAGAAGATTGAAGTTTTTTTCTTCAGCTCTCCTCTTTTCTGAGATTTCACCAGAATCAGCCTTAACATTCGTATTTTTTGCATGCATGTAAAAACTTTTTCAGCCTTTATCCACTCACTATTCAGCTCCAAAGCTGCTTCCTCATTTTTAGATATTTGTTACATTAGCACCCCACTTCTGGTACCAATTTGTCTTAATCAGCTCTATATCACAGTACCATAGACTGGGTGGCTTATAGACAAATTTATTTCTCACAAGGTTAGAGGCCGAAAGTCTGACGTTAAGGTGCTAGCGTGGTCAGTTTCTGGTGAGAAACACCTTCCAGATTAAAGACTGCCATTTTCTTGTTATATTCTCACATGGCAGAAGAGGGTGAGAGAACGCTCTGCAGTCCCTTTTATAAGGGCACTAATCCCATTCAGGAGGGCTCCACCCTCATGACCTAGTTACCTCTGAGAGGCCCCATCTCCTAATACCATCACATTGGGGGTTAGGATGCCAACACATGAACTTTGAGGAGACACATTCACTCCATTGCAAGGCCTAAATGGTATTACTGGAAAATTCTACCAAACACTTGAAGAATAATTAACACCAATTCTACACTACCTTTTCCAGTAATCAAAAGGAGGCAACACTTCCAAACTCATGTTATGAGACCACCATCAATCTGACACCAAAATGAGACAAAAGAATACAACAAAACTATAGACTTTCATGAATATAGATGCAAAAATCCTCAACAAATTAGTAAGTCACAGCAAACCCACTGAAATATATATTTTCAAGTATACACTACAAATGGAGTTTACCCCAGTGATGCAAAGCTTAGTCAATATTTGAAAACCCATAAAGGTAATCCATCATATTAAGTATATTAAAAAAAATCACATCACACTCATTTTATCAACTGATGCATATTTTAAGTAGAATTTCAAGGAAATAGAGAGGATTCATGATAGTTTTTATAGGTAGCAAAGGGTTCTCAAAGTTATAAAGGGCCTCAGAGCTCAGGGAGGAAAAATCAAACATATGGTGCTGTCATGAAAATGCGGCCTCAACGTAAAGATGAAGCCAACTTTCATCCTTTCTGTGAAACAGCAGGGCTTCTAAGAATTTTAAAGTCATTTTTCCACAGTAGCCTCACAGGGTACCCAATACAGAGAACAGCCCATTGACCTTCTGTCTAATTACATGAACCCTAATAAAATAAAAATAATAGAAAATACACTGTTTAAGAGAACTGTACTCCTTGAAGTGCCGTAAGCTTGAATTTAATGGGACAGAAACATTACAAAGTAAAAAAGGGCCTTTGGATCTTTAAACATCCACAGGCTAAAAACAGTCTGAGAAAACTACTCAGCTATACACATGGGCTACATTTTACGGACAGAAGGAAAAAAAATAATCCTGCATGAGTCAGGGTAGAACCGAGGAGGCCTCAGTATGTAAGCATGCTACTTAGAAGCAGACACACGTTTAAATTGGGTCTGTATTATGTAGTAATACAACCCACTGAATAGTCCAGCTTCCCACCACAGCAGGGAAACTGAGATGTTATATTCTTTCTTCAGAACTAAGTATTCAAAACCTCATGTATATTTTACATGTATAAAACACCATTTTAATTTATACTAGCCATAATTCAGGTTCTCAAGAGCTCTACATGTTGCTCCCATCTACCTTATTAGACAATATGATATTAATTCCATTAATTTCCATAAATTGTTGTAACTGCTCTTTTTACTCTTTAAATGTATGAAGTAATATGGGACAAGCACTACACAGATGTAGCAATAGGTGAACTAGATAAAATCTGGATTTTCAACCTTAATTTCCCAAATACGTTATAGCACACTTAATATCCCTGTGTGCAGAGCTTTGGCAAAGTCCGTATGTTCTGATATGCAGCCATTTATAAAAGTCATTCACTTCAAGCTGGTTGTAATTTCATATTTTATCTTTAAGAAATTATGGAAAATGTCAAATACATGAAAACAGCAAAAACAAAATAAACAAGCAAAAACCATGTACCCAAGGCTTATCTTACCATGATTCTGATGAACAAGTTATCCATCCACACTTCTTTTACACGAGCATTTTAAAGGTAGTTCTAGACTTACCATCTTATGTGTATAAACTTCCTAATTCACCTCTAAGACACTTTCACATAAACACAATGCTATTATCACATCTTACAAGAACATAATTTCTTAATATTATCTAATACTGTCAATATTCCCATTTCCCCAACTGTTATAAAAATGTCTTATGTTTGTTCAATTTGTGGTCTAAAAAACCACTCATTCATTGCATTTGATTGATATATCTCTTCAAACTCTTAATATCTAAGAGTTCCATCTCCCCTTTTTCCAGTGCCATTTTATTGGTTGAGAAATTAGGTCATTATTCTTGTAGAATTACCCACATTTTAGATTTGTCTGCTTCTTGTTGTGCCACGTAATTTGTTCTTCTGTTTACTGCATTTTCTCCAAACTGGGAGTTAGATCTTGATAGATAATTAGGTTCAGGTTCAATATTTTTAGGCAATGTTATATCTTATTGTATCTTTTTAGGAGGCACAAAATGTTTTGTCTCATTTTTTATGAGATTAAAATTAATCAGTGGGTTCAGATGTTGTCAACCTGATCTGTTCACTAAGAAGTTTGTATCAACCTCACCTAATGGTCTTAACAACTCTACGGAGAATCATGCCTAGATTCATTAGGTCATTATATGTTGCAAAATTCTCTAATAAAGAACTTTAACTCATCAACTTCTAGTTGCCTTGAAATGTAAGGAAATCCAGGCTAACTGACTTTTCTTTCCTTTTATCTATCAATTTCCAGAATGAGCTGGTGCCTTGGCAGCCTCCATAGGTATACTGTACAGATGAAAAAAGAAGTGATAATAGGTTAGGATCAAAAGCTTTTCCACATTCACTCCTTTAAGAGTTTCTCTGAAGAAGGAATTTCCTAAAGTTTAACATGATTTGAGTGGTGATGAAAGATTTCTATGTATTAAGTTAACATGTTCTTTTAAATAAAATCTCTCATTTTAATTCTAAGCATGAAGCAAAAGGGATCCCTACAATCAAACACATTTCCTCCAGAATCTATTTTCTAATGATCCTTAACACAAAATTCACGATGGATGGCTTTCTTATAATTATTTAGTCACATTATGAACTCGCTGATGGTAAGTAAGATGTGAATGTTGTCTAAATGCCTTCTTACATTCCTTACATTTGTATGGTTTCTCACCAGAATGAATTCTCTGATGTTGAGTAAGCGATGAATGAAGTCTAAAGGCCTTTCCACATTCCTTACAGTCATAGGGTTTCTCACCAGTATGAATACTCTGATGTTGAGTAAGTTGGGAGAGCAGTCTAAAAGTCTTGTCACATTCCTTACACTTATAAGGTTTCTCACCAAAATGAATACTCTGATGTTGAGTAAGTTGTGAGAACAGTCTGAAGGCCTTCCCACACTCCTTACAATCATAGGGTTTCTCTCCAATATGAATGCCCTGATGGGAAATAAGCTCTGAGTAACGACGAAAGAACTTCTGACATTCCTTACATTCATAAGGCTTCTCACCAGTATGAATTCTCTGATGGAGAGTCAGATGGTAGGCACGACTAAAGGTCTTCCCACATTCCTTACAATCATAGGGTTTCTCACCAGTATGAGTTCTCTGATGAAGAGTAAGTTGCTGCCGCACTCTAAAAGCCTTCCCACATTCCTTACAGTCATAGGGTTTTTCACCAGTGTGAAGTTTGTGATGCACTCTAAGGCCTGTACTACACAGAAAGGCCTGCCCACATTCCTTACACTCATAGCTTTTCTCAGCAATATTAAGTCTTTGATGTCGACAAAGATGAGCATATTGTCTAAAGGTCTTCCCACATTCCTTACATTCGTAGGGTTTCTCGCCAGTATGAATCCTTTGATGGAGATTAAGTTGTCCTCGCACTTTAAAGGCCTTCCCACATTCCTTACAGTCATAGGGCTTCTCACCAACATGAGTTCTCTGATGTACACGAAGATCTGCAACACATGTAAAGATCTTTCCGCACCTTTTACATTCAAGGAGTTTGTCACAAACATGAATTCTCTGATGTCGACTAAGGTGGGCACACTGTCTAAAGGCTTTTCCACATTCCTTACATTCATAGGGTTTCTCACCAGTGTGAATCCTCTGATGGAAAGTAAGTTGTTGGCGTACTCTAAAGGCCTTCCCACAATCACCACATTCATAGGGTTTGTCTCTATTGTGAATTCTCTGATTGAGGGTAAGAGATGTGTATTTTCTGTTCTGGGGTATTTTTTCAGAGGTAGTTTTTTTCACTTGCCTAAAATACGCCTCTTGAAGACCCTCTTGTCCCTCAAACATTTTATATTCACAATCTTCCCTGAAAAAGGAGTCTTCAAGGCCACAACTTCTAATTCTTTCCATTATCTCCCACTGAGATAAATTCATTTCACAAATATCCTTTACTTGTGATAACTTTCTAGCATCGTATCTGGATTCCAAATCTGAAAGAAAATAAGATAAATACATGCTATTTTCTTATTCTAGAAAAAGTAAACAAGTAAGCAAATAAAAACATTATAATAGGAAAAAATATAGAAAATACAGCCCTGATGAAGTAAAGTAAATGTGCTAAAAAGCTCTAAAATAATCACATAAGTTTTTTAAAAAGCTAAGAGGAATGGAGAAAATAAGTTAAAATCAGATTAATTTGGAAGCAGATCAAAGTTAGAGAAAGTTAGATAAAGAAAAGTTACATAAAGACGTTAGATAATGTTAGATAAAGAAGCTTTTACTGTATAGCACAAGGAAGTATATTCAATATCTTGTAACCTATAATGAAAAAGAATATGAAAAGGATATATGTATGTATTTGTATGACTGAAACATTATGATGTAGACCAGAAATTGACACAACACTGTAAACTGACTATACTTCAATGAAAATAATTTTGAAAAATTTAAAAAAAAAGAATAAAGTACAAAGACCTTATTATGAATAACATGGCATTTGTTTACCAAAAGATATCATCTCAAGCCACTGTCCCCTTTGCCCCAGCCACAGTCGCCTCCTTTCAGTTCCCAGAATATGTTACAATCTTTTCATTTCTTAGAGCTTTTTACTGGTTATTTAATCTCCCAGGAATGCTGACCTGGGTTCTCCAAATGGTTGGGTTCCTTTCATCTTTAGGTTTCATGATAAAAATCAGAAAAACTATCTGTGCTGACTTCATCTAATTTATATCATTTATTTTCTATCCCAGTAACACCCTTGCTTCTGAACAGTTTTCAACTTCTGTTGTTATATATTCCTTAATTTTCGTCTCTTTATTTTCTTACATTAAACTTCACCAAAGACAGAAACAATCTTTCACTTATCACTGAATAACAAACCCAGTGTAGTAAACTGTTTATTAAATTCCCATAATTAGTTAACAGTAAAAATGTGTACTGTTGCCTTGCCTCTAATCTTATACCTTATTAAATATTCTTTTTTATCACTTCCTATAGAAATGGGAAACAAAAGCACATCTAGGCTATCTCAATCAAGTATGTAAATGGAAAATTTCTTTACACCTGATTATCTTTCCAATTGCTATCTTTCTTTCTCCAATTACTCTACTTTTGTGTGCAGGTATCTCCACTTCAGCTCATTTTCTGCTTTGCATAGTTGAGTGAACTCTGCTTTCACAATCAAGGTAGTGAAGGGATCTATTTATTTATCCCCATTTGAGTTTATATAACTATACACATTTATGTTACAAATACTCAACCTGTTTTGTTCCTTTATACTCTTTTCTATATTCTCCCTAAAGTCTTCATAGCCAATGCCATTTGGGTACTTCCTACAAAGCATATTAGTAACTTTTCAGGCACAGCAACAGGTTGATAAAATAGTAACATGCTAATAAAATTCTAAGCAAAGATGTGTTTTTCTTGAAATTTTTGAAATAGGAGTTCAATACTTTTCAAAAAGGAAAAGGTATTCTTTAAAAGTCAACAATATAGTCCCCAATTTAAAAAAAACCACAACATAGCAACATCATTTTTAATATGCTCAAACTGGAAAGAATCCAAGTGTGCATCAACAGAAGAATGGCTAAGTAAATGACAATATACTAACACAACACAGTAAGACCAGTGAGAAACAATAATCTACACACATAGCAATATGGATGACCCGCACAAACATAATGGTGAGTAAACAAAACCAACCGTAAAAGAATACATACTATATTATTTCATTTTTATAAAGTTCAAAAAGAGTAAAATTAATCTATGGACTTCTTAAAAGTCAGGCTAGTAGTTAACTTTGGCAGGGAGGAATGACTGGAAAAAGTTAGGAGGGAGCTGACATCCTAGTAAAGATCTATTTCTCAATCAGTGTGCTGATTAGATGGGTGTAATCACTTTGTGAAAATTCAGTGAGCTGCACATTATGATTTCTGTATTTTTCTGTATCTGTTTATACTTCATTAAGTTTATTTCAAAAAGGATATATTAAGAAGACATTAAAAGGCAACGATTCAAATAGTGTGGATAATTTGTGAACAGAGACAAATCAACGGCACAGAAAATACTATGAAATCTGTGTCTTCCTCCTTCCCTCTCTCCTCCATCTGTCTCTTCCTCTCTTCCTTAGTTCCTCTCTTTCCTGGTCTCTCCCTCCCCTCTGTCTCTGTCTCTCTCTTCCTGTCTATCTCTATCTCCTCATTCAAGAAAGAAATGTAAAGCTATGGCAATTTTATAAACATTTTTGGGAAAAAAATAATTTAAGCCCTCATTAAGACAAATCAGACATAAATGATATATAAAATGGAAGGTAATTAGCTAGTAGCAACAGTGTAAATAAGTAGGCAGCTTACAAAGGTATGACAACTATTATTAAGGTGTTAATTTCAAAAGATTTATTTGCAAATTAAAAATTAAAAACCAGTGATGTAAAGGAAAGCTGTAGTCAAAATCAAAATCAGAGGCCCAAACATTTGTAAGAAAAATGAGAAAGCATACACAGCATAAAAGCCCATACAAACTGGTATAAGAAACACTGAACAACAGAAAAAGTAATGAAATAAAAGAAGTGAGCAATGAACAAAAGAATAAACAAACTTAGGGCAAAATGTCCAAATTCACTCATAAAAAATGAAGTACAAGTTATAAAACTTATCCTATAAAATTTGAAGATTTTAATTTAAAGAACAAACAAGACATTCCAGGTGTTTAAAAAAGGTGGGGAGAGGGGGTTAGCTCAAGTGGTAGAGAGCATGCTTGACATGCATGAGGTCCCAGGTTCCAGCCCCAGCACCTCCTCTAAATAGAAATAAATGAATAAACCTAATTACCCCCCCCCCCAAATTTCCAGTGTTGATACAGTGAAACTGAGACTCTTCTATACGGCTTCCCACCTAAGCAACATGCCAGATTAAGACCTTGGTATACAAAGTGGGTATATATACCTTGTATAGCTCAAGTGGTAGAGCACATGCTTAGCATGCACAAGGTCCTGGGTTCAATCCTCAGCACTCTAAAAATAAATAAACCTAATTACCCGAGCCAAAAAAAAAAAAAAAAAGACTTGGCATATTGAACATTCCCATCTAGGAGACTACTCTATAGTACAGCTGACCCTTGAACATGAGGATTAGAAGAGCCAATACCCTCTCCCCAATACTGAAAATCCACGTATAACTTTCCAGTTGGCCCTCCATATATGCAGTTCTGCATCCAGAGATTCAATCAACCTCGGATCATGTAGAACTGTAGTATGTATTTATTTTTTAAAACCCATGTATAAATGGACCCACAGCTTAAACCCATGTTGTTCAAGGGTCAACTGTATAAACAAGTGAACTGTAATCTTATGATTTGTGTGAAAAATCAGCCATGGTTGTTCCCAGATTGGTTTATGACAGTTCTTTTCCCTGCAAGACAACCATTTCTATTTATGAAAACTAAGTTCAATGCTTTGGAAGTTCTGGCTATACATGCACATTGCATTGTTGTCAAAGGCATGAGTGAGATACTAGTAAAGATTGATGGGAAACATAAAAATTCATGAAGGATTCTGCAAGTAGACTGCTTTACAAGTATCTAGGTTCTTGGTCTACTTTAAATAAAAAGAAACTGAAATAATAGCTAAGCAATATACATGTGATTTAATCAAGAAACACTGGCTAGACCTACTCTGAAACAAAAGGCCACACTAAACACCAAAAGATTGGCCTAGGCAGGAAATTTTAATGTTCTAACTTTAAAGATTCTCTCTTAACGTATGATACTAGCTGTATTCTATTGAATCAAAGGGCTTTATGCTAATGTGAATAATGCTAATAAGATGAATAATACTAACATGAATTAGCCCATCTTAGAGCAATGTAAAAGGAGAAATGTTATTTCCATTTTCAGGATATCGGCTTTACTTAAAAAGACAATAAGGAGCAAATTACCTGGTCACAAAGTTAATCTGTTTCCTAAGATATGATACCTTCGATATACAAGATGATACGGATACAGAGTATTTATGACAGAGGCGGTTTAGTCACATTAACACCAGGGTTAATGTATCAAAAGATCTGTTAAGTGTTAAAACTCTGTAACACAGAATTATACTTGTGTGAATCAAAACTGATCAAATACTGAATAATCCATACTGAATTCCAAATAATTCTCACATTCTGCTGATAATTTTCCTGCTTACTTTCATCAAGGAATCAGAACTGAAAGAAAAATGTTATTCTCCCCTCAGTATGTTATACAACCATCCTTATCATATGCATTGGTTTTCTTTCATATATTCGCTCTTAGTCCTTCCCTTTTACTGAAGGTCATTGCTTACAAACTATCCTCTGTCTCTCTACTCCATCAATCTTAATCTTCCTCTTTGCAATCATTCCCTTCAGCCTACAAATATATTCTAATACCTCACATCGTAAGATAGTTTCCCTGTACCCTACGTGTCTGCTTTTATTCCTCCAAAAAGTTATATATATATTTTCACTAATGCCTCACCTCTTTCTTTTCCTTGTCTCCTAATAACTTTAAAAGAAAACAAAATTTTATTACAGAGCATTTCTAACATGCACAAAAGTAGAACAGTAATAATAAATGTCCATGTACCTATGAACCAGCCTCAACGACCATCAACCAAGCCCAATGCTGGCCTCTGCAGACCCTAATCCACTCTCCTCACAGTTTTTGAAGCAAATCCCATATATTATTTTTTGTAATCACTTCAGTATTTATCTCTAAAAGTATTTAAAAGTTAACCATAATACCATTATCCAGACCTGAAAAAAATGAACAATAATTCTTCAAGAATATCAAAAATCAGTGTTCACACTTCCAGCTATCTCACACATAAAATTTTAAACAATTTAAAAACAATAATAATTGATCTAAACAAAGTCTATAATGTACAAGTGGTAGACACGTCTTCTACATGTCTAAAACCTATAGAGTCTCCTACTATTTTTTGACTTCCACCTTATAATTTCTTGAATAACTGTTTTTGACCATATAGCATTTTTCATACTCTGAATTTTGCTGACTACATTTCCAAGGTAGAACATGTTCCTCTTTCTCCAATAAACTGGTAGCTGGCTTTAGAAGCCCCATCAGACTTAGGCCCAATTTTGTTGGCAGTTACCTCCTACTGTATGTCTGATCGTCTCTATTTCTGTGATGCTATCGGCACTGATGTTCAGTGCCTAGATCCAGTAGCTCACTGTGGGTTCCAAAATGGTAATCCTCTGTATCATTCTTCATTTATTCACTGAATACTTTTATTAAGAAAAATACCACCCCATCTACTTCCTATTGGGACAGTTCTTACAAGGAAGGCAGGATAAACGCTTCTTTTGCTTTAAATGTAAGCTTTCCAAATAAGTTAGTTCTCTAGTAGTTTCCAACGGTGAACAATCTACTGTTAGCATCATTATGAATTTACAGAATTAAGAATGTTTTATGTGCTGCAATACATTGCAGTTATGTATATATGTGCTCAAATTATTCCATCTTTGACGCACTGGACCCTCTTCCATCTAGCTCCTCTTCCCTGACCACCCTATCTAAAATTACCCCATTCACCCATCATAATCCTCCATATTCTTATCCTACTCACTTTTCTTCATAATACTTAAATCACTTCACAATACTTAGTAATCCATTCGTTTATTTGTTACTATTTGTTTATTGTATGATTTCCCTACTACAGTGGAAATTCCATGAAAAGAGGGTGAAGAAGAAATAAATACACAAAAGGCAAAATACAAAAGATGAGCTAGAAAGGAATTAGATTCAAAGTACAGGTAAAATGTGGTCATTGGGGAAGAAAGCCTTCCCTCATGGAAATGAGAAGGAAACACAAGAGTGAAGAAACAAGTGGCAAGTGGAAGTACAGATGAAATTTCTTTGGTGTTTCATGACAAGATCTAAGTTTTCTTCCCAAGTTTCAGGTCCTTCCTCTAAAACCAACATCTCAGGGGTGTGTTTCCTTCCCCGCAGCAGGGACATGCCATGTCATAACAGCTTACCTTGCCCTGATTAGCACTTACTCACCTAGGCTCCATCTTCTTTTCTCATCCCTCACAACCTTCCAGGGTTCTTTCCCTTGCTCTAATAGAGTGATCACATCTGGCTTAGAAATGGAACAACCTCCTTGAAAAAACATAATAGAAAATAATAAAGAAAGGATATACTTGACTAAGCCTTCAGAAGAGTAACAGGACTGAAAAACATTCACATTGAAGTGGCTTCAGGATCACAAGGATTCACAAGAACAGAGAGGTAAGAATATTGTCTTATTTTAATTGCCAACTCATACAGGCTCTGTCTCTTGAGGAAGTAATCATTGAGAGCACTGATTTAAACCCTGCCTCTCTGTCACCTGAGTCACTATGGCCTTAGTTCTCTCAGTGGGAAGAAAGGAAAAATAATGTATACCCATAGGATTGTTGAGGTTTGACTTAAACAAAGTGCTTGGATGAGTGCCAGGTACACAGTAGGCACTATACATGTTTACTGGGTACAATTTTTGCTATTTATATTTTGCTAAGAGGAAAATAATTAGTTTGTCAGTATATTCATCCAGTGTTAAATGCAAAGTTCATATATTTTAAACTCGTAATCATAAATCAATTAAAAATAATATATCTGTTCTATTAAACTGAATGTGTCCATTCGAGTTTTAACAAACTGTTGATTTATCACAGTAACATACACACTGAATAAGCTCTGTCTTTCTACTCACATTGAAGGTTAAGTTAATAGATAATAGACCATCCATAGCAGAATGAAACCAGATTTCTTTGAAAATGGTTTTGTCTGAGTGTGAAAGAATTTATATCAAACTGTCATTAAAAAGAAGCAATTACAGAAAAGGCAAAGGAAAATGTAAAGGTCACTGAATTTTGGGGGAAATTAAAAGTGCTATTTAATAGTTTAGTAGCTGAAGATGTCTATTCCCAAACTATATAACAGATACTCAGCTAGTTTTTAGAAAGATAACCCTGAAATTTAGTTGTGTGAATTTATAAATTATTTGACACAGATAAACTTACCCAATGACACGAAGTTGCTATAGTTCTCTAGTATCACATCTCTGTACAAATTCCTCTGATTTGAGTTCAGGCATTCCCACTCTTCCTGGGAGAAGTCTACAGTCACATCTCTGAACATCACCAAATCCTGAAATGACAGACCCACATATTATTTGTAAAATTATTTCTGTAAAGGCCAATATTTAGGCTTTGCATACCCTTCCCCTTTCTCTTCTTTTTTTAAACAATACTTTTAAAAAGTAATTAATTCATAGGCTGTACAGAAACAGACCATAGGTTGAGTATGGGTCACAAGCTGTAGTTTGCCCACCACTGCTATAGACAAAACTTCCTATATACTATAGGATACCTAATTTTACTTATTTCTAGATATGTTTGGGGAATTTGAGTTTCACTAAATCGTTAACAATATTTTCTTAGGCCATTCTCTCAAAGCAAAAGAAACAAAAGCAAAAATAAACAAATAGGACCTAATCAAACTTAAAAGCTTTTGCACAGCAAAGGAAACCATCAACAGAACGAAGATAGCCTACAAATGGGAGAAAATATCTGCAAATGATGCAGCCAACAAGAGATTAATATCCAAAATATACAAACAGCTCATACAACTCAATACCGAAGAAATAAACAATCCAATCAAAAAATGGGCAGAAGATCTAAATACACATTTCTCCAAAGAGGATACACAGATGGCTAACAAGCACATGAAAAGATGCTCAACATCACTAATTATTAGAGATGTGCAATTCAAAACTACAATGCAGTTATCACCTCCCACCAGACAGAATGGCTGTCTTCAAAAAGTCTACAAATCATAAGTGCTGGAGAGGGTGTAGAGAACAGGGAACCCTCCTACACAGTTGGTGGGAATGTAAAGTGGTGCAGCCACTACAGAAACCAGTATGGAGGTTCCTTAAAAAACTAAAAATAGAGCTACCATATGTACCAGAAATCCCACTCCTGGATATATATCTGGAGAAAATGAAAACTCCAATAATTGAAAAGATACATGCACCCCAATGTTCACAGCAGCACTATTTACAATAGCCAAGACAGAGAAACAACTCAAGTGGCCATCACAGGAGACTGGCTTAAGATGTGGTAATATATATACAATGGAATATTATTCAGTCATAAAAGACTGAAATATGACCATTTGCAGCAACATAGATGGATCTAGAGAATATCATACTAAGTGAAGTAAGTCAGAGAAATACAAATCCTATATGATATCACTAGTATGTGGAATCTAAAAAAATAATACAAATGAATCTATACACAAAACAGAAACAGACTCACAGACATAGAAAATGAACTTATGGTTACAGGGTGGGGGGAGAGGGGTGGGAAGAGATAAATTGGGAGTTCAAGATTTGCAGATACTAATATACATAAAACAGATAAATAACAAGTTCATATTGTATAGCACAGGAAACTATATTCAGTATCTTGTAGTAACTTACAGTGAAAAAGAGTACGAAAACAAATATATGTATGTTCATGTATGATGAAGCATTATGCTGT